TGTAGTAGGGAAATAAAGCACAGCTCCAGGCAGAGTAATGTGATGCCCAGGCATCTGGACTGAACTTGAATGTGACAGTAAAGCAAGGGTGAGGACTTGCGCACAATGATGTTACACAGTCCTGAAAACATGGCCCTAGAGGCTCTCACAGGTGTGTTTTGTGGGCTTTGTACTAAGTGAGCCTCAAATGCTACTCCTCCCGAGTGGAACTTCCCTACACTGCCTATCCTATTTGCTGGACACTGGGACTCTATAAAAGCACCTGCAGCCTCTTTTGTCCCCAAAATTTGTTCTCTAAATTTTTTCTCTCAAGAGACAACTCTGTACATAGAACAACCTGGAGCTGCAGAAGCAGAGAGTCTGGGCAAAGGGCTCTAATGGCAAAAGCAAAACCATAAAAGCCTACAGGTGCTGACCAGTTGGCCCTATCTAGCTGGGCTGATGGCCTGAGAAGCACCCAGCCTCTCCTGATGGGTTTTGCTCACAAATGCTTATGAGGACACAGATGTTCAAAGATATTTCTCCCCTACAATTGTGAATTGTGCGAACAAAGGCTAAACTACAAAGACTTTCTCTACCAGTGGGAGTTATTACAACAACAGAAAGATAGGTAGATAGATTGATAGATAGATGATGATGATCATAGATAGGCAGACAGACAGATGGAAAACTGAAGCACTTTTGAAGGGCTACTGGCTGAGAAAAATAATTCAACCTACCTATTTCCATTTAGAAAATCTATTAATACTGTTATCCTTAATTACAAAGATGAAATAGACAATACATTCTTTTATGCACCATTAAATTCTCTTGCCTACTGTAGAAGAAAAATGTATAGCATACAATAAATTAGTAAAGGTACAATATGGATAGTTAAATCCATATTGTCTGAATATCTGCTATAAAAGTGTGTTAAAATTTAGCCTTTCATGGAGTAAACAACTCGAATTATCACTGGAGAAATTCTTGACTTTTGGTTTAAGCGCACACTCAGTTCTAATTTGCCAATTCTATTTTCATCTATTCAAGAGTTTTAAAAAGAGTATCCATGTGTACTTTCATGGTTCTAAATGTCAATTATCTTGGCAAATTTGAAATAAATCTCTCAAGCCAAGTTTAAATCATGCAGGAGGTTAAAATACATTATTTGACCCTCACAGCAGTAACGTTAAGATTTTAGAAGGGAAATCCAATTATTCTATGCAAGGAAGAAATGGTACCTCTCTGGAAAAAAATAATTCAGAAATTTTAGGATGTGATTGAAAAATAAAAAAAAGCAAAAGGTTTTTCAAAGTTTTAAATTGCCAACCTCCCAGCTGGGATATTGGTTTTCAGCAAGCTCACGATTTTGCTGATGACAGATTTATACCAGGCACAGTGATAAGAGAAAACTTGCAAATTCTCATTCATATAATGCCATAAAGATACAAAAAAGTTTACTCTTATTTTTCTTTCTATCATTACTTATAGTCTATGTTTAAAAAAACATCGTAAATACAAAATATAAAAATGAACAGTGGTCCTTTCATTAAGGTAATATAAATGAGAAAAGTGTAAATACAAAATGAGAGAAATGTACACTTTAACGTTTTCACAGAGCCATTAATTCCCCCTGCACATATTGGAAATAGTACCCCTTAAGCTTTTAAATATACATTTTCTTAGCAAGGAAGAAAAGGTTGAACATATTCATGTTCTGTTAATAGCCTTAACTTTTTTCTTTTCCAAATTATGCTCTTTTGATTCCAATCTGAAAACTGCATCAATATTAATCACTAGAGTTAATGAAAAATGGCCTTGCTATTGTTGTTTCAAAACTAAAAAGGTTTAGGAAATATAATTTCATTTACATGTATTTCACTGCCCAACACCGTTGCTAGTCAAAGGATTTTACTATCTTCTGACATCTATAATGCTGTCATTTCAGATGCCTCAAATAGCTGCCTACTTTACCTCCAAAGGATACGGTATAAAGCGAATCAAATAAAGTCTACCAATCCCCGCGTCTCTTAAGAAGAAACCATCAGAGACTCTAGGAACAACATCTTCAAACAGGATACCCTCGGGCTTGATTTCTGAGCCAAGGGCAGATACTCAACTTCAGACTTTGAAACTGTTTCTAGAAGAGAATCCTAAGAACTGGAGAGGTAGCATTCAAGAGTGTGTGGTGTGGAATGGGAATGGATGGGGGGCAGGGGATGGCTAGGCAGGCCAAGGTTGGCTCCACTAACCAAACTATTTTTGACGTGGATAGGCAGGAAGACACATGTTCAGCTCATCCTGGGATCCCTGCTCTTTCACAGAAGTCAAAGGGCATCCTGGGAATATGGCCTGTCCCTATCCCAGGGATCACACGAGAGACAACAAAGCTTCACCCTTTGACCATGCCATTTTAGCCTCTGCTTCCTCCAGGCTGGCTGAAAACTAGATATAATAAACTAAAATAAAGATGAAGGATAATTTTTTTTCTATTTTATTTGGACAACACAGTGTCATTGGTGGTCTGCCATGGGTGACTGATAGCAAATAAAAGAAATATCTCCAAGATAGGTTTAAGGCTGACTCTTGTTCTCTCTCTATTTCCTTATCCACTGTCCATTAATCCCTACCCAAGGCATCTCATAAAGAAGCATTAGTAATGTAGGGTTTCTCACAAAGTTTGCTATATTTTAAGGGCACAATCTATTTTTCTAAAATCCTTTGGCATCATTGATGGGCACATTTCTATCTTTAAAGTCACCCATCCTCAAAACCACGTATGCACCCACTGTTGTTTAAAACACACAAAGACACACACACACACACACACACACACACACACACACACAGCCTCTGAAGAATTTAACTGGAACACCTCATGCTGAGGATAGATGGTAGGGTTCTTGCTGCACTGAGGATATGGTGCAGCAATTAGGGCAAGTTTTATCTTTCTACAGATCTTTACACTGTGAACCCTTCACCCTAAACATGCCATCCCTATCTTAAGCACCAGTATTCGGTCTTTCTTTCAAACACAGTCACACCCAATATTCATCCTTGGAAATCTCTACATACATTTCTTTATCCTAATCAGGTTTTTGTTGTTTTTGTTGTTGTTGTTCTTGGTGTAACAGAGCCTAGTTCTTTGAAATGGTCTTGTACCAAAAAAATTAAAATCCAAACCAAACCACACACCCATGACTACAACTGTTTCCCACATTGACAGAGAGAGGGTGGTGGCTGGTGGAAAATCTACTAACTTACCTTTCTTTTCAGTCAGATCATATTATAAATATGAAGACAATCTAGTCTCTGGGTTGGTCCGGCTGACCTGCCTGATCTCACCACTCCTTAGAAACCGCAAGACACACTGAAGATCACCTTCCCTGAGGGAGTACTTCCCTTTGATTAAAGATTTGTAAGTACTGCATCACCATTTATAAACCTCCAATAGTTTATAAACTGAGGTATGGTAATCTGCCTTACTTTGACATTGAGGTTTACTCCGCTAGTCAAAGACTCCTTTCTGCACCAGGTAAACGAAGTGCATAAAGATAAGCCACCAAGTCAGTTATTCAGGGGTCACTGATTAAAGAAAAGGCTGGGATGCTCACATTATGAGATTTTATCAGAGATTTGCATGGGGAAATTTTCCATCTTAAGTTTTTGGATAATGAAAATTTTTACACATTTAAATGCATTTACATTTTTTTCACTTTGATACACAGAGCTAAACAAGTAGTGACACTACCAAAACAAGAGATGAATTTAAATTAGACCAGACCTAGGCTTGTTCTGTGTTAAACTTCTTAACAGTAAATAGTCCATGTCCTTCCACTCATATAAGAGAGTATGGGTCATCATTCAAGCCTCAACTTGCTATCAGGGAACTCTATGAGTGGATATTATGTTTGGTTAACAAATATAATATTAAAACATAAAATATGAAATGAAATATTTTCTGTCTCACCTGGAAAACTTGTTCATTTATTCCACAAATATTGATTAAGCACTAACTATATGAATGAACTTTTCTAGGTGCTGGGGGTTCATCAGTAAACAAAACAACACTAAACAAAGCTTTCCACTTACAATTGTGGCATTTATTTTCTAGTGAGATTCTAAAACACAAGTTCCTAGAATTTCAGAATGAATATTCTAATCTTCTTGAAGTTTTACATTTCTACATAGAAAGGATGGAGATGGTAAAGCTTCTAAGCTAGGTTAGGGGAAGAAGAAATTATCTATTGACAAAACCTTTATTGTAAAAGGAAAGAAAGCCAGCAGGTGGATTTCTTCTGATTAGGGGAAAAGGAAGGACGGTTTGGTAGCAGCCAACCCTCCTTGGAAAGGAGAAACTATGATATTCTGTAAATTATTCAATACCAACACAATCCATTGCCCTGTCTCACATTATCTCTGGTTTGTAAAAACTACTTCCTAACAGGGCATGCCCCTAGAGACAAGAGTTGAAGGACAGCAGCAACTTATACCACAGTGGACATATTTCCCATAAATAGGAAGTTTACCTATTACCATGATCAGTCATGATTATGGGATTGGGTCTTAGAGAATTATCGCTAAGGTTTGGATATTGTTTATCCCCTAAAGGTTCATGCATTGGAGGCTTGGTTCCCAGGGTGGCACCATTAGAAGGTGGTGTAGAACCCTTAAGAAGTGGGGCCTAGATCAGTAAGGGACATGACCCTGCAAGAGACTTGAGATCCCAGTCTTTCTACCTTCCTGTTTGATGATGTGATTTCATTCTCTCCTGTGCACTCTCATCATTGCTATCTGCTCTGGTGTGATACAGTATCTTCACAAGAACTGAGCTGATACAGATGACCCTCCAGAAATAGGTGACAATAAAACCTCTTTTTTTCATAAGTAGTCCACCTCAGGCATTTCGTTATAAAAATGAAAATCTGACTCATACATCTATGTTGCCAAGACTCATAATGTCAAAGTAGCATGAGATAGCTATGGCCTGAAGGTTACCGTCATGCTGCCCTTACCCTTACCATGACTGAGATGTGGAGGATCCTCAGCTCCTCTTCTGCTGACTCATGCTGGGGTTCTTCAGTTGGGTCTTGTCCAGGGAGACTTGGGGCACCATCTTGGTGGTGGATGTGAAAAAGTAAAGTGCCATTCTCCAGCCACTGCTGCCTCCAACGCACCAGAGGGATGTCCTCTGTGTTCCCTGAGATCTCTAGAGGATGAATACCAAAGGCACAGGTGAGAACTTGGACTGGACCAGGTTTTCATCTTTCTAGCCACTGGTACCAAGTAACCAATTCTATCTGAAGGCAGTGAAAAAGTCCAACTATGTCAGACTTACTGCTGCTCCAAACTTCAAGGAGGGAAAGTAATTCCAAGAAGAAGAAAACTATCCTCCCCATAAGTCTTTACACCATCAATCTAGTGAGTCAGGCTCTCACCCATTGAGAAAAATACCGAGGTGAAAATTCAAGTTCTTCTCCTAGTACTGTGATCGATAGCATCCTTTACATGGCACAGTTTGAATACCTGATAACCCCCTGAGGTAAATACAAGGTTGTTTGGCTCTTGTAAATTTTAAAGTGTGAGCTCCCAGCAATTACTCCTAGACACACCAGTGCATCTACCAAGGAGAGAGTTGGTAATTACTGTGCAGAGAAATTGCATTTATGGAATAGTCCTGAGAGGTTACTGGAGAGCTACCAGGGCTGGCAGGCTATTTCTAAAACCACAGTCTTTTGCTGCACAGTCCACTAGAGATGCCTGATAATTTGTCATGACAAGTAATGTTTTAATTCCCTTAAAATTCTCTTTTCAGCTTTGCAGAGCACAGGTGATGTGCGTGAAGATGGTGGTGAAATTGAGCCCTTGTCACTGATAGAAACACTCATTTGCTTCTCAACAATCTAAATAAAACACTGGAACATCATCAGTAAGAAAATTGCAAAGACCCACTCTGCCCTCCACACTGTCTTAAGAACTAAAGCGGTATTGCAGAAACATGCTGTATACAGTGTACAGTGTGTACTCTCTTATATTCCTGGCAATGGAATAGCACTGCTTTGAGACAGCCCACAGTAGAGAAACCTGATTACAGCAGACTTTCCTGAACTCCATTCAGGCCCCTGACTACTGTTTCTTTGACAGCTATTACCAGAGCAGGGGACCAGTATTCTGCTGAACACACATTAACAAACCACTGCTTTACAAACTTTCATTTTTTAAAAAGCACAGCTTCTTCTTTCAAAATTTATCACCTTTGACCAAAAAAAACCACCCCATAGACATAAAAAAGATTTAAGACACATTTAGAATGTATTCTCATCAAGTATCACAACCATAAAGAGGAAAGCAATTTTAAATATTTATGAAGTTTATAACTATCTTCCACTATATGTGGAAGTGCACAAATAATGTTATTTATTTATTTATCTATTCATTACTTAATAGACACACACTGAGCGTGCATTCTGCCCCAGGCACTGTGCTAGACACCCAGGTACTAAATAAAAATGAGGCCTTCCACCAGGTCTCCAAAGCAGCCCACCTGTCTGAAAGTGGCAAGTGTCACACCAGGTAGGCGACTAGGTTTTGTGAGAACACAGAAGGAATTAGTGATGTTGCCAGGGTAGAAGGTGTAAGAAGGGTGGAAAGTAGTCTTCCGGCAGGGAAGGGCGAGCGCAATTCCTTTCAATATTTAGAGGAGGGAAATGATCATCTTGGCCTGATAGAAGGAGGACGGGAGGAGTATCAGCTGGTCCTCTCTAGGCAGATCACTGAGAGTTTTGTATGAGCCACAGCTCAATAGTCTGTCCCCGAAAGACACTGATGGAATTGCCTGCCCAATCCTAGGCACATGCACCAGGGAGAAAAGGAAAACATAGGGAGAGGAATGCCTGCCAATACAGAGTGATCACCATCGCTCTGCTTCACACTTAGGTCCTCTCCCCCACTGCCTAGAGGACTCAGTCATCCCACTGGGTTAGTATGAAGTCCATGACCTAGGACAGACATGACTGGTGCAAGCATTTGGGAAGTGCAGTGGGCAGGAGTGAGAACAGAGGATCTCCTGCACCTCAGTCCTGGTTTTCTGAAGGCATAGCCCCTCCTGTTAAATGAGATAGTGACACAAGTTAACTGAGCTCGCCTTTCCCTAAGGAGGCATTCCAGTCTTGGAGGTGAGGAGAAACCTTTGAGTGCATCTGGGAGGGTGTCCATTTCAAGCAGCAGTGTCAACAGTTACTAACCCACTAGGGCACTGGGACAGTTACCCTTCCAACTACTCCTCCTGCCTTCATGTCAAAGCACCAGATGACTCCTGAGAAACACACCCTCTCCACAAAGTTCCTGTTGTGGCACTGCAGTAAAAGCCAAACTCTATCTCTGTCTCACTACAGACATAAAAATCATAAGCAGTTCAGCCTCAAATAGAGCACCTAATGGTGCGATCAATTCACCCAGGGTAACACACACCCAATCTCCTGGTGCACTGGCTCCCACCCAGCCTAGGGTTTATTCCACATGTCTGGGTGCCCCTCAGCCCTTCCTGTAACTATTTAGGAGAATTTAGCACTTTCTACCTTCTAAGTCACTTAATTCAGATTTTTGTTTCCTAGGAGATCCTCATCAAGTAGGTCAGGCTCGTTAGTTCTGTTTAACTGCAGAAGCAAACATAAGAAGAGACCTGGACCAAGGTCATCTCAGTCTGACACAGAACAGGGGCCCTGATGGGCAAACTCTGAAATCTCCTCCACTCCAATACACCTAGCAGCTGACATGGCCCAGAACATGCACAGCAAGAGGAAGCACCTGAGTGGAAGGTCCTGTGACTTTCAATATTTTAGAGTAGAGCTTCTCTAAAATATTTTAATGTTTTTGTATAAAGTCTTAGTATTCTACTTCTTCTTTTTAAAAATGAGATATAATTCACATGTCATAAATTCATCCTTTCAAATTATTTGATTCAATGGTTTTTGGCATATCCACCAAATTGTAGAACAATCACCACTGTCTAATGCCAGAACATTTTCATCAGCTTGATACCCTTTATGTATGAGCAACCCAAGGCTTTTTTAAAATTTATTTATATATTAATTGGTACATTTTAGGTATACAATACATTTACATTTCTCATTGGGTGCTTGTACCTGTACATGATATATCTTGGTTCTTATTTTTTCCCCATTACCTGTGCACCCTTCACCCCCTCCACCCTTCCCTATTTACATACTTTGTTTCCTTTTTTTCTTTCTTTCTCATAATTTTTCCTCTCCTTTCTTCTCTTTCCCCTTACCCTCTCTCCACCCCTACCCCTTTGGACCTTTTCCTATTTCAAATTATCAATTATTCGTTTTAATCATTTTCATCCTTATTTACACTTTCAGTTTCTCACACTAGAGAAACTATTCAGTATTTACACATGTGTGTCCTATTTATTTCACTTACGAGTATGGGGGTGTGGAGAGAAACGAACCCTTCTCCATTGTTGATGGGAGTGCAGACTGGTGCAACCACTGTGGAAATCAGTGTGCAGATACCTCAAAGAACTAGGACTAGAGGTCCCATTTGACCCTGCTATTCGCCTGCTGGGTATCTTCCCCGAAGAATGAAAAGAATCATACCACAGTGATATATGTGCACCCAGGTTTATAGCAGCACAGTTGGTAATAGCTAAGGACTGGAAACAGCCCAAGTGCCCATCAACTGGAAACTGGATAAAGAAGATGTGGTTTTTTCAGAAAATGGAGTACTACTCAGCCATAAAGAACGAAAAACTAGAGTCATTTATAGCTAAATGGATGCATATTGAACCCAAGGCTTTTTATGGGGAGCAAAGTGCTCTGCTCCAGGGTGATAAGAGTTGAGGTGGAGTGGTGGTGGCAAGGAAACTGTAAGTGCAGAGCGGGTACTGGCAGTGTCCCCATGAGGCAGTGGGCCGAGGCCAGAGTCCTTGGCTTTGGTTTTCAGGCCATCCCTCTTCGAACCCCTGTGTGGGTTGCCTGTACTCATCCCTATGGATAGTGACATCAAGATTCTGCCATGCTCACCACAGAGGGCGAAAGGTGAAGGGAAAAGGGCACTATGCTTGCCAAGGGCACTCGTCATTTTGGTTTCAAGATAATTACAAAATGATAGCATCTTCAGCATCTTTGTTGGCTTTTTTCCTTCTCCTGGCAGGATTTGACATAGCAGAGCTCAAATTGTAAACTAGGAACTTATTTATTCTATATCTGGCCTGGTCAACTAATAAAAATCCACACAAGGCACAGTAAATGTCTTGTCAATTTCTTCTCCAATGTGAGTGAGATCAGAGCTTAGAATATCAATGTAATCATGTTGTTCTGGAATGCGGCTGAATATCTCAAGAATAGGTTAGCAAGCCAGCCCTGAGACTCCCAAGGAACAAATCTGGGAAGTGGTGAAATAGATACTCTAGTCGAAGGGCACCGGAGCATTGACCATGAGGCTCACATAGAACCTTTTCTACAATGCACTGAATAAAACAAGTGTCAGTGGGATCCTACACCATCATCTCAAGATACTACCAACACCACATCACACTGTGGAGCCATGATACTCAGAAAGGCAAGGCTGTCCTGACTTTTAGCATTCTTCCCCTCCACAAACCTCACATCCCTCAACATCTCCAAAGATCCTGTAACTATGTGGAATATTTAACAACCAAGGTGCCACTCACAAATAATAAATATTTTTGGAGCACATTATTTTCACCAGATTCAGAAAATTGTGCTGAATGTCTCCTGCTCTCCGCTAGCTTTCAGTCTAGCAGGAAATATAAGACAAGACCATGAATCACTACTCTAACAGTAAGAGCAGTGCTGCATTGGGCTGGGGATTTAGCAGCACTGCACCTGCCTCTCAAGCAAGCTCAAGGTCCTGAGTTCGATCCCTGGTACCAAAAATAAAATAAAATAAAATAAAAAGCATTGCTTCATGAGAGGGTGGGACTTGACTGGAAGTACATGGATGAGAAGTAATAAAATGGCAAAAAAAAATGTTGATGAGGAAATTCCAGATGAAAGGAACAGTATCTTCAAAGGAACAGCAGGGTAATGCATGTTTGCAGAACCATAAGAAATCTAGTTAAGCTGCAGGAGAGAGAATATGCAGAAGAATAGCAGAGGACCTAAGCTAAAAATGCAGACTGCTGTCAACTTAAAGTCGTGAATGCCAGTTTAAGGAGTTCAGAGC